GTTACTTTGCATTTACTTTACGGTGTGACGCCACTGTCGGTTTTTTATCGTCGAGCGCCTTATTTTTAAGGCTATATTTACAGTTATGTGACCTCCATAGCAAGTAGCCTTCTGTTTCCTTCCCCACAAAGCGGTATTCGCCTGCCACCTCAAACGGATGAAAGGTAGATGAGTCGAGGCTCGAATCCAGGACCTTTCGACTTTGCGCTCGACGCTTTACGGACTGAGCATCCACGTTCAAAGCGTCGTTTTGGTGCAATGCCAAACGTTGTCTGAGTGCCACCTTGAGAACGAGGACTTGTTAAGAGTCGTTTCTTCTGTGGACCCATCACCGAAGGTCATACACCCGTTCGAAGCTAATTCAGGTTCTGAGAAGCACGCAGTGGACGAAGTCTAATATCTTTCTTATGGTAGCCAACTAATGGAATGCGAAAGATCAGATAGGCGATTTAAACTATTTTGTATATCAGAAGCTGTTTGTACGCTCGGCTATGTCAGATAACGAGTGACTCCTCTAAGATCAGATTTCAAAGCGTTTGGCCCGCCCCCTTTCCTGTGACTGCTGGAACTTGGGCGTATGAGCACGATGTTATGGTGTTGTGACATTCGCGCGGTAGCATGTAAGGCATACCAGCTTCTGCGACATCCTTTTTCATAGGCGCAAAGTGATTATAGCTGACGCAATGAAACGAGATGTGTCTGGGCCTTAGGTGCTCAAATACCGTAATACCTTGGCCTGTTTAAATGCCTTCCTGGTGACTAAGAGCAATGGGGCAGTGCAGTACCTCACGAAATCTGCTATTGGAAGAGTCGTTCGTTATAGGTCTTGCATCATTACAGGGCCTAGACAATATACGTTCATATGCACAAGTACGTGCAACGTCATCACTCCATTTCTCCCAGAGCAGATTCCACTGATCTGAACAACTCTGGTCTTCATTATGCTTCTAGACTCCGAGGACGACGGTAACGGAATCAGTAATATGCATACGCACATGGTTAATAGTTCAAAAATTTTCTGAAATCTACTCAAAGATAATACTAGCCCTAATCACTCTTTAAGAATCTGGGGACTTTCGTTCCTGGTCTACGGTATCACTCCAAAATCAACCGCCGGATTCCCCTGTTCTTTCTAACTATCGTAAACGGCAATTTGGCTTTCCCAAAGTGAAGTAGAAAATTGTTGTTCTACGATGCATCATTCCTTGAACTTCATTTATTCCTTAGTGTCTTTTCTTTCTTCTTGAATCTCTTTACCTGAAACGGCGCGTGGTTCTCGTAGGGTACTTGTCAGTTTTACCAGACATATCGATAGGGCGCAAAGGTTCTTAAATTGACCTTTGAACTGTGATTGATTTGCTTCTGTCAAGCATAGAAAAACATAGAATGCCAAAAGTTGTCTTCATGTCACTCTTCAGCCCTCAACTTTTTATCCGTCTGGCTTTCAGTCAGCTAACTGGAGTTTAACATAACTGTTCCGATCCTGATTAAAACTGCATCATCAGCAGTCGTAAATATTTATTTATGTATTTAAAATCGACGTTTCAGACAACACCCATAGTATCCTTCTCACTTTCATCATTGTGGACAACATGCATGACAGCTTCTGAATAATGTTTTGACCTTCAACCATCTTCGTACCTGTAACCATAGAATTGTAAGCCATCCACACTAGCCATCAGCACAGAACCAGTAAGAATATTTGCGGGTAAGCATTTCACTGCTCAATGTGATAAGCTTTTTGCCAATTATTACTTATTAGTACTTCATTTTCATCATTTTTATCACCTTATGAACCCAAGTTAATGTACTTCATGAATTGTGCTTCCTTTCACTTCATTTTCTTCATGTTTTCCTTCTCTCGCTTCTTTCAGTCGCTTAAGCAACCCTATTTTATGTCACCTTCCCCTCTCTCCTCTTCACTTTTTCCCCCTCTGTGCTTTTCTCATCTCTTTCCTCTCTTTACCCACTCTTGCAATCTAACATATGACTCGATTGTGTTCTAATCGGCCGTTCTTACGGTTGGCCTCTGTCCTGTTCATCATGATGATTTATGCTAGTTGGAAAATGAGTTGATGCGGGCTTGCCCTTTCAAAGACAGGCGATGTATGGATCTTTTTTTACCGCCTTCAAGTCGTGACCGCTGGACCCTAATGCAATATGATCGATTTTCGTTGCCCATGGCCAAATGAATACTGCGGCTTGTCAGTTTGTGTTTTCCTCGTCGTTCATCACGGTC